CAAACTCGAGATACCTGGAAAGTTGACTCGGTGATCAATATCTCACTTTAGCGGGTGAGTGAGATTTGTGTAAGGAATAAATCACCAGCTGGTTAGGAATCGATTCGAATCGCCATCGCTCCTGGATAGTGAGCACTTGACTTGAGTGACTTCATCGTAGTAAATGTTTATGGAACACTTGGACAGTTATAGTGAATATGACAGTATGGAAGTTGTTTAATGATCAGTGGTTATCATTAATTGCTTAATCACATGTTTACTCTAGTATAGGTGCAAATCTAGTCGACAGGTTAATACTAATTAACTTGACAATAATGCTTTTAGAAAGGTTCTTAAAATGCTACAAATGCTTCTTTTGCAAATGAGTCAGCTACCCTATTATAAAGCCTTCATAATCCTTGGAGTCATTTATTTTTGGTTATGTCGGGTAAGTCTAGCTGAGTACCTTCTCATACTCAGGGTTTTATTCTCACTTGTTGCAGATGGGCAGATGTATTACGGCTATTGTATCAACTGCCTTTATCCTGCGATGGGTGATGCTTAGGACCATGGGCATGGTCATTCCTTACGTCTTGTCTAATGCTTTTGTTGGAGATGATCATTCGCTGGCACTATATTTGAACTCCGCGTGAGTGTGTGTGGTTTGAACAAATGGCTTCCGCTACTTTTATTCGAACGGGTTTGTAATAACTATGTTTAAACTCTGATGTATCTGAGATTGCGAACTTTTATGTAATATGTGATGGTGACCGCTAAACTTATTACGATCTTGGCTGGAATGGAAGTTGGTTTGAAATCCTTCGCGATTTCACGGACTACCGGGTTATACGGGCTTAAGTTTGCTAAATCGTCTGCTCTGGCGGATGATTTTCTTACTTAATTTCGTATAATTGGTCGGTTCTGTTACAGTAGCGAGTCTGAAATTTCATTTCAGTTTCGACAGTGTCGACTGACAGGCGAATTTCAACGATGATGATCTCCCAAACCATGACGAGTTAGAGGAAACAATTAACATGAAAGTTGTAGAGCTATAGTAGGGCTACAACTTTTATTTAGAAATCAACAGCTAACTCTCAACGGATCACGGGTTATATCACGCCAAAGTTGACCCAATCCAACTGAAATTGCATTTTAGGACTTAGAAATAATTACAAGTGTTGAATCCACCTTCAAAGCTGACTTGTGGGACCTTTTTGATCATGTTGTGCCCATTTTCAAGAGTTGGTCACAAAATAATTTTTGTTCCTTATAAAATTTACTACAAGTTTGCTTTAAGTTGCTCAGACATGCATAGACTCTAAGTCACACTTTTTAAACAGTCAAACAGGGACACTCCAAGGGTCAATTCAAGTCAAACCTTCACTTGAGGGCATTTTGGTCATTTTGATCTACATGAACAATGTCCCAACAAGTAACCTAAGTGTAACTAAGGTGTAATAGACCATGATCAACCACCTTTACAAAATTGTTATACCTCTTTTAATGATCACATGTGAGAAAGCAACTAAACAAGCAATTCACTCATATGTTGGAATGAAATGTTGCACATGTTTCATAGCTTTGTTGTTATTCTACACTTGTCATATTTCTACCATGTTGCCATGTTTCAAGGTATGAGAAATTTATGTTGCATTCACAGATTACACCAATTCTATTCACAACAATCAAGCATGAAACATACACAGTTGAAAATGTTGCATATGCATGTTTCAGTAACAATGGCAATGATGACATAGATGATGCATACGTTTATGAAGTGAAATGCAATTAGTGGAAGCCAAACACCTAGGGTGTTACACAAACGGCTTGTCTGATCTGTTTTATTACTAGAAAAAGCACGGTGATTACACGGTGAAGTCTGCGTATAGGAAGCTTGTCACGCACATATAGGCCCTGTGATCGGGCTGTTACTTGGGGCTTCAGCCGACGACTCTTGGAAGAGGATTTGGAAGATGAATGTTCCTCCTAAGGTGAAAGGTTTTTGGTGGCGGGTTTTACATGAGTTCATCCCAACCAGGGACATCCTCATCCGCCGTCATATTGATCCGAATCGGCTTCGTGGATTTAAACAATCAAGCACACACTCATGGATTGTTTCATTGCCCAGTTGTTTTGGCGCGAGACAAAATCATTGGGCGTGAAGCTACCCCCAGCCCTACGACCATACTTGGGCCAGCCGACTTGTTACGTGATGATGTTTGTTCGCAAAGGATCGAAGCATCTTCGTAATTGGAATGTACTCGTTATGGACGAAACAAACAAACAACGACGGGAAGATCAGTGTCATTGCGCAAGGTCTGTGGTAATGGGTGATTGATACCGCCCATGACCTCCGGCGAGATCACCAAGGTGCTCGTGCGAAGCACTACTACGTAAATGAACTTGCGCAGTTGTTGCACAATTGGCCTCCGTGGCGGGCAATTGTTTTTTGCCCACCGGGGTAACTTCGGGTGGCGGACGGCCACCGAGACGCCTGGCTGCGGTAATGATTTTATCGCAGCGGGCAACCTTATTTGCCATTTCGCCGCAGCGGACATCTTAACGTGTCCGCCATGGTAAATCGATTAATCGCAATGGGCAACCTTATTTGCCCGCTGCGATAAATCCCCATTTACCGCAGCGGACATTTTAACGCGCCTCGCCACGGATAAATCGATTTACATGTATGGCACACTAAAAGGCCCGCCACGGAAAAAGGCAAGGCCCAAATGGCCCAAATAGCCGCCCGATAGGGTGTCTTCATATATAAGCCAGCACTTAGGGTTCCCTTTCACTCCTCTCACCCCCTCGCCCTCCCTCTCACTCTTCTCAGACGAGCCCCTCTCCCTTGACCCCCACCCCTACACTCCCCATCCTCTATCTCTCCCGGCGGCGGCGGCGCTCTTCTCAGCCGTGGTGGGCGCGGCTCACATGTGCAAGGAGGGTGGTGATGTGCGGCTGTCACATGGGCAAAGGGCGGTGCTGGTGGCTGCTTCAGATGGATGGAGGGCGGCATGATGCGCGGGCGCTTTGCTGGTGGAGGGCGGCGCCGTGGCGTGGCTCGCGCGGCGGAGGAGGATTCACAGATTGAGGCGGCTCATGGCAGCGGAGGTTGTCGCGGCGGCCCGTCCTCCACCGGGCTACAGCGGCGTGGCGTCGTCTCGATCCGCCTCCAGCGACGGCCACGGCGGCGGATCTGCCCCGGCGAGGGTGGATCTGGACCCGGCGGCTCGGTTAACCGACCGATCATTGGCGGGCGGGCGGGTAACGTACCGCCGCGCGGTAGAATATACTTTTACCACGGCGGCACGCGTTAGGATGCCCGCTGCGTTAATCATTTAAAAAACAAAAAAAAACGAGAGCCAGCCGCAAGCAAGCCGTTCTCGAGCCTTTGGCGAGCCGTTTCAACCCAATAGTCCGAAACCCTAGCGCCGCCGGGATCCGATGCGAGCTCGCCTTGAGCTCCACCTCGTCGGATCCGCTCCACGGCGTCGATCCGGCCACCAGCGGCTCCACGGCGTCGATCCGGCCACCAGCGGCTCCACGGCGTCGATCCACATCTGGCGCCCCTCTCCCGGCGGCTGGTGGGCCTGTCGACGGCGGATCCGACGAGGTGGAGCTCAAGGCGAGCTCGCATCAGATCCCGGCGGCGCTAGGGTTTCGGACTATTGGGTTGGAAACGGGCTCGCCAGTGGGCTCGAGAACGGGCTTGCCGGCGGGCTCCTGGTTTTTTTTGTTTTTTTAAATGATTAACCGCAGCGGGCATCCTAACGTGCCCGCCGTGGTAAAAGTATATTTACTGCGGCGGGTACGTTACACCGCCCGCCGCGGTAAATCGGTTAACCGCGGCAGGCAAGGCCGCCCGCCGCGGTTAAGCCACGATTTACCGTGGCCTCTAGGCCACGGCGGATGGCTTTGCCCGCCGCGGAAAACCGAAAACGCCCGTCTCCAGTAAAGTTTGTGCAGTAGTGAAGGCTGCGAATGCAGTCAAAGAACGGTGGCAACCACCAGATGAGGGGTGGATCAAATGCAATGTTGATGGGGCGTTTTATTCAGAGAGCGGACAGGGAGCGACTGGTGCTGTTCTTCAGAATGATGCAGGTAGCTTTGAAGCTGGAAGAGCGAAGTGGTACTCACACTGCCTAGACCCTTTGTCAATGGAGGCTCTAGCTTGCAGGGATGGCGTGGCACTTACTGCGGATTTGGGCGTCCAAAAACTGAAGATTGAAACAGATAGCTAGGAGCTAGTGAATTTATGGAAGATGGGAGATAACCAAAGATCGTGCATTGCACCAATCATCAGAGAGATCAGAGATCGTAGTGCTGTTTTTCTTGCTTTCTCTTTGGTGTATGCCAACAGATCCTGTAACCACGTCAGATAACACTAGGGTGGGTGAGTGGCAATCAGCCCTGCCCTGTGTTCTCCATCTGTTGACCAAAGATTGTAATCCTTCTATTCCGTGATTAATAGAAGCTCTTGAGTCGCAAAAAAAAAAAAAAGTCCCAAGCAGACCCATAGTCTGAACTCTAGAGTGAGCTTGGCCTTTTTTTTTTTGACCTAAAGTGAGCCTGGCCATTACTTTAGAGCAACTCTAAGAGCCTCTTAAAACTTTAATATTTATATCTCCATAATTAGAGAGCCATCCATGAATATTATCTTTATATATCCCTCCTGTCATCGGCGGACTGTCTAAGTTTAGTTTTCATACTTTCTTGGCTTATTAAAATTTACATAGTGATATAGTTGTAAGGTTGGTTTTGAAGAGTGGAAAAAGAAGGATGGTTTAGATAGCCTATTGAAACCTTTTTTTTACTTGTTCTTCGAAATCTTGTGATACATTGATACGTCGTGGTTGCATAGAGCTTCATGGAGATGCACTTATTTCCGTGGTGACTAGTGGCCATCGCTCCTCAAGCTGCTACTATGGAGGATAAACTCATACCGAACAGCTATATAATCTCTTATTAAAATGATTTTATTCTTTAGCGCCAACACATTGCTTATACTAGCCGAAGCAATGTCAGTTCTGTGTCCCTGCAGTAACGACACGCTGCACCCGGGCGATGTCCAGCGCTGCTTTCCCGCTGAGCTTGTTGCTCTGCTGATGCTCCATGTAATCTATGTACCTGACGCCCCGGAACTGCAAGCCCTGCCCGTCCGCCGCCAGCTCCGGGACCGGCTCAACGACGGTGTCCAGGCACGGCGAGATCATGCTCACCATCGACATCCTCGCGCGCTCGCCGCTGACCACCGCGCGGTGCAGAACGCCCTTGTACCTCCCATTGCTCACGATCTGCACACGCACACGCACACGCACACAGTCAGTGACAAGAACCCGTGAAACTAACCGACGTGAGTAAAGATGCGCCGCGCCCGGCCGGCGGCGGCAGCGTTTGGTTCGTTGTGTTGCTACTACCTCCAGCTGGTCGCCCGCGATGACGAAGAACGCGCCGGGGAGGGGCGTGGCGAGGAGCCACCGCCCGCCGTGGTGGACCTGGAGCCCATCGACGCCGTTCTGGAAGAGCAGGGTGAGGAAGCCGTGGTCGGAGTGCGCGGGCAGCCCCAGCCCCAGCCCCGGACCGGCGGCGGGCGGGTAGCGGTTGGCGACGAGGATCTGGAAGCAGGAGTCGAGGCGCATGGCCTCGGAGACGCGGCCGCTGGCGAGGCCCAGGCTCTCGGAGACGGCCGTGGCCAGCGACAGTAGCAGGCGTCTCGTCGTCGCGGCGTACTCCGTCGCGACCTCCCTCAGCTTCGCTGGCGTCGCTGGGCAGTGGAGCTCCGGGTGCGCGAACATCTTGAAGTAGTCCCTCCAGTACCGGGCGCCGTCGACGGCGGCGTAGAAGCCTGAGCCAACGCGCACGGGCGCCATCGGCCCGGCCTCCAGGTACTCCGCCTTCTCCTCCTCCGGTGAACTGAACAGCTCCTCGCACGCCTCCATGAACGCTTCTTTGAGGTCCTCGGGCACCCCGTGGTTGACCACCTTCCATGTCGTGCCAGATCGGGACAATCCGTTATTATGTTAGCGAATTGAGACGGCCGGGGAATCGGGGATCTTGTACGTGTAGCTAGTAAGAGCAACAGCATGGCATGCATACCATGAAGAAGCCCCAGTCCTGGCACGCCCGGCCGACGTCCCGGACCGCCTGCGCCCGTTGCTCGGCCGCGCCGTTGACGAGGGCGTCGAAGTCGACGACGGGATGCCGGTGGTGCCGGCGTCGGGAGCGGCATGCTCGCCGTCGTCTGTGCACGGATCCGGGGAGTGGTAAACCGAAGCTCCCGCCATCGGTACTGGGCAGTGCAGCCGTGCAGGGATTAGTTAGGAGACGTACGAATCTGGAGCAAGCAAGGCGAGGCAGGCTGGTGGAGGGCGTTTCCCGTTGCCGTGGCGCCCTCGTGTTCATCCACTCGAGAAGGGAGAAGACGACAGGCGTACTCGTAGGCGGTGAGGCGTTGGACGTGATGATAACTGATTAGCCACGCAATGAGTACTTTTCTCAAGATATTTTCGCGGTGTATGTATGTCTTGATGAGTCGTCACAGAAGAAGGGTTTTTGTCGTTCTGTGCCTTCATTCAGCTAAAAAACAAGAAAGAAGAAACCGTCCCATGGGCCATGGGGGTGCATCTCCAAGAAGAAAAAAAGAAGGAAAATAAGAAGAATATGCTACGATATGTTTGAGAGACTCGCAAATAGATAGTAGAAAGCATATATAGGAATGTCAATATATTTATTATGAGTTTTAAAAAAAGGTGAAATCCATACCTACATTTTACACTTAATCCATTAATCACTAGTTAAGTACTATCTAATACAAGACATTTTGGTTTTTTCTATATACATTTTTTACTGTATCTAGACATAGAATATTTTTTTGAGGGAACAGGAGGGACTCGGGTAGTCCCTACTGGAAATTTATTAGAGTAACCAAAGAGGTTAAAAAAACACAAGTTTAACAAGAGGTTACAGGGAAGACCGCAGGCAGAGAGAAATTCAAGAAAAAAAAGAAACAAAGAAAATTAAGAGAATTACAGAGAGTGCTCTAGCCATAATTCAATTGAAGAAAAATATTTCTTTTTAGCCCTCCAAAGGAGCAAGCCAAAAGTGTGCTTGAAAACAGCTGAAGCCCTTTGAACGGTAACAGGGAGTCCTCTGAAAATGGCATCATTCCTAATAGTCCAGATACTCCAACTCATAATGATGATAATTTCCATATAAAAACTGACATTTAGCTGCATTTTGAAACTCTCAGAGATTTGTAAAGGGTCCAGAGCTAAATTAACTGTGATGCCAACAAAATTCCAGCAGGCTTTAGCTATTTCACATTCCAAAAATAGATGCTGAACAGTTTCCTCGTAATTCGAAAAACAAAGCACACAATTGTAAGAAGGAAGGTGCATGTGCTTCCTCCTCAAAATGTTACGGGTGCTCAGTCTGTCATTAGTGAGCAACCAGAAGAAGACCTTGTGCTTATGCTGGCAAGAGGATTTCCAAATCCATTTATAGATTGGGTATGACCAACTTCTTCCACGTAGCTGATAGTAAGCCTTCTTGGAGGTGAAAATGGAGCTGCCCCAAATATACATCCAAGTGTCAACATCATCAAACAACTGAAGGTTTTGCAGGATGATTTCAATCTGCCGAAATTGTGTAAAGGCCTCTGTTGAAAGAGGAAGGCTGAACAGACTAGAGGTGTTAGTAACTGATGCTGCACATTGGAGAGAAAGGAGAGGCTTCTTGGCAAAAGAGAACAATTCAGCAAAGATTAATTTTAGAGGTTGACCCATCCTGCAATCATTCCATAGAAGGCAAGATGCACCATCTGCCACTGAAACTGAAGCCATGCTTTTGAACTTATCTAACAATTTCAAGACATCTTTCCACCAGAATGATCCTTTCTTGACATGACTAGAGAGTCTACCATTACTATAATATTTCTCCCAGATAAGATGCACCCAGGGGATATCTGCTCTGTTGTAAAACTTGTGAAAGTTTTTTAGGAACAGGGCCTCATTCTGGGTTTTGAGGTCCAGCACCCCAAGTCCACCTTCTTCTTTTGACTTGGTCACCCTGGGTCAAGCAGTCTTGGCATTGATTCTGTTGTTTTCTTTAGATCCTCTCCAAAGACAGTGCTTTCTGTATTTGTCAATTTGCTCCCTAACAGTGGAATGAAGATGGAAAGTGCTCATGAAGAATATAGGAAGGGATGTGAAGACAGAATTAGTCATTTGGAGCTTCAAAGACATAGAATATATCTCTCGATAAAAACTATATATTGAAAAAACCAAAGCATTTTATCAGGGCCAGCCCAGAGTTTTTAAGGACCGGGGCGAAACCAAAATCTGGGGTCCTTATATACACATGAACGACGTAATGTTACTAATACACACTTAAGTGCACATACAAAAGCAGTATTTATGAAAAACAACTCATACATATTAAATTATCTTAAAATTTTCTTTCGAAGGGTGGAGCTAGGCTTGCCGACCCTCATTGCTAAAAATAGTTGGAAATTTCTTTCAATCAGGGACGAACCGTTTAACCTTTCTAGACACATAGATATCAAATAGTTCTTTTCTCAATGTCGGAAGCATATTTTCCTGATGACATGATACCGTTAAAATTTAAAGAAACAACTAGTTCAAAAAATTTACATGGATCCAATCTAACCAAGTTCAATATCAAGCACGCCAGCATGGGATTATTATTCGCAGATACGGATACACACCAATGTAAAATGTAATAAAACACTAGTACCGAAATAATTTTTACATACGGCTATAAACTTGGGATAATAATAATGGGGTCGTTTCCCGTTGGGTGTTGGCTGTTCAGCTTCAAGCTGGCCTTCCAAAGGAGAAGGGACACCAGGGTACTGATTCGCTTCCCGTACCAAGCAAAGGATCGTCCCCCACCCCGTTTTTTATTAGGAAAAAAAGAGCTAAATACCCACTGTCAGTACTCTTTTTTCTCTCTTACCGTGTCTGTGTTCTGACAAATTGCCGAAGGCTAATACAAAAATGATGCCAAAATTAGGATTACTTTGTAAGGCTGTGTTTAGTTCGCGAAATAAAATTTTTTGGATGTCATATCGAATGTTTGGGGATATCGGATGGGGTTTTCGGATACTAATAAAAAAAACTAATTACATAGCTTGCATGGAAACTACGAGATGAATTTATTAAGTCTAATTAATTCATCATCAGCGCATGTTAGTTACTGTAGCACTTATGGTTAATCATGGACTAATTAGTTTTAAAACATTCGTCTCGAGATTTTCAACCAAACTATGCAATTAGTTTTTTTCGTCTATATTTAATACTCCATACATATACCGTAAGATTCGATGTGATAGTTTGGGGTGAAATTTTTTTTGAACTAAACCAGGCCTAATTGTAACGAGAAGTTCAGCTATCTGATTTTGATTCTGATATGAAAATCATGAAGCCTCAAGTCTGAAGACTCGCCGTTCTGTTTCTTCCAGCCTGTTCGCTTGTTGGTTTCAACCAGTCCAAATCAGCCAGCCAACAGTATTTTTCTCTCACAATAAACCAGCACCAGCCAGCCCAAACCAGTCCAGAAACCAACCAGCGAACAGACCCTGCGTTGCCGGTTTTGTATAGAAAAGCCTCGCTGCAGCACATGCCTGGACGCTGGACAGGACAGTTCCAGAAGGTTCCTTGCAAATTGCACAGGCGGAGGGAGGACCGGGTCTACCGCTGCCACCATGTACTCTCTCTGTCCCAAAATAAAAGACGTTTTGGGTTTTCGTGCCACAAGTTTGACTCGATTTATAGAAAATACGTGCAATATTTATATCTTCAAATAAATTTGTTAAAAAACTAGACAAAAAGATCTTTTCGATGATACTAATTACTTAGCATAAATATTTATATATTTTAATATATAATTGCCGGTAGTCATTTCTCGGGAAGCGAGAACGTCTTTTATTTTGGGACGGAGGGAGTATGCAGCAACAAACTGATTAAAAGAAGAGTACAATTTCCTTGTTGGTAACAACACTGCAAAATTTTGATGGTTTTAGTATTTATGAAAAAACAGTACAAATTCCTCCAAGATTTCTACTGGACTCCTTCCCAAATCTAATCCAAATCCAAAACAAAAAGCTCGTAGATGGACGTGCCACCTCCTGCCCGTTGTTAATAACCGTGTATATATATATATATAAATATTATTAATATATATATATATATTAATAATATTTTTTTAAAGTAATCATGCTCCTAACCCCCCGCGATCTAGAACCTTCCGACCCTATATATATAACAATACAAAGCAAAATCAGCACCACCGACTGACACGTGGGACAGGGGACTCCGGCCCCACCAGGTCGGGGCCCGCGCGGCTTCGGGCCCAACGGCAAGTCAGTCAACCCCACCCCCGCTGCCCCGCCTCCCGTCCCTGGTAGAACATTCGAGAACCCCTCGTCTCCCAAATAAATCCCCACCGCTCCACACCCTCCCAAGTCCCATCTCGTCCCACGCTTTGCCTGCCTCCCACAAACCCTCGTATCGTGCACTTCTCCTCCTCCCTGTAGCCGCCGCCGCCTACTAGTCGCGCTCTCCTCCTCGCGTCCGGGGGAAAGGTCGTCTCGCCAGCCATGGCCTCGGAGACGGAGACGTTCGCCTTCCAGGCGGAGATCAACCAGCTGCTCTCGCTCATCATCAACACCTTCTACTCCAACAAGGAGATCTTCCTCAGGGAGCTCATCTCCAACTCCTCCGATGTGAGTTTCAGCCCCCACCCCGACGACCCGCTCGTCCTCCTCCTACCTTTGCGGTTTGCGGTTTTAGGGTCGAACTAGATCTGTGCGCTAAACCCTCGCGCCGTCCGATAGGTAGATCGGAGCCTTTACGGCCTTACGCCGCGTGTTGACTTGATTTGAATCTGGTGGTGATGGGTTATGTAGGGTTTTGCACTG